TGATGGGACATCTGCGTACAATCTGGAATCTGAACCGGAAATAGCGTACACCTATGCAATTCCTGGAAATGTCCTTAAAATCAAAGTCACTGTTTATGGAAAACCCAGGAGTGAAAACGGGAAATTTACAGGTACAGGAGTTGATAAAGTCACCGAACATCCGCCACAGTTTAGCAGTTCGGATTTCGTGGCATCTGGACGAATCCGTCGACGTTTCAACGCCAGAACATCTATTATGATTTCGGGGGGGGGGGGGGGGGGGGGGGTTCCCGCAGAACTCGATGGGTTTCCAACGAGGTTCTGCGGCCGTGAGGCTTACACCTCTCCAGCAGAACCATGTGTGTATGGTCACACACACACACACACACGCACGCACGCACGCACGCACGCACGCACACACACACACACACACACACACACACATACATACAGACATACAGATAGAGAGATCTTCCAGTTGGCGGAAGATTTTTTTTGGAGTTTTTGGACGGACAACTCCCGACACATCAACATCTCCTGGCACAACAAAAGGCACATTAGTTAATTAAAATTCATACTATTATTACAAAAATATTTGGATGAGACCTGACCGGTTTCTGCACATAGAGTGCTTCATCAGAGGAATGAAAAATGTTGTCTCTGACTATAGCTTATATACACAGCAAAAGAAATCAACAGATGCAGTAAAAGATGCGATAGATGCAATGCAGTTGCAATCATAGGGGTGACTGGCAACAAATGCAGTAAAGGTGCAATAGGTGCAATGCAGTTGCAACCATAGAGGTGTCTAGCAACAAATGCTGTTGAGAGCGAAAAAAGCGCAATGCTGCTATAGAGTTATACTGTAGAGTTCATAAACCGCGGGGTTAAGTTGTATAATCCAGGAAGGGTGCGTGAACTGCAGGTAAGGTTAAAAGCTAAAAGTTGTATTTTTGGTTGGTGCCAGAAATTTCTGGCACCAACCAAAATTGTGCCGGAAATCGAAAGGCTAGCCATATCTCGAAAACGCTACAGGCCAACTGTCGAAGTTAGGCTAAACGATAAAATGCTAACCACGTCTAATGACCATCTTCCAGGCACTTCTGTTACATGGACATCCTGTGTATACAAATTTCTCGAAGCAAGTCCATAATTATACAGCCGACCCCGTGGTGTTTTCCTCAGAAGCGAAACCGCAAAAAGTGTGAGTGTCGCTAACATACTGTATACAGTAAGAGAGTAACAAGGTCTAATGGGTGAGAACAGCGAGGTCCAGGGGGAGATTCACAGTTTGGTGTGTGCTAGCTCTAGCCCGCTCTCGCTGCACCTTCACTTAACCGTGGCAAAACACACGGCCTCGCGCCTTACCAACCGTGAAGACAGCGATCTCACACAGCCACTAAAGAGTGCTAGCATCAAGAGTACATATCCCCCAGCGTGTGCAACGCCTGATCCAGCTCTGCATAGAGTATTGGTCGAGCGTAGTCGGATCTTTGCGTCATAATGCCGTGCACATCTGAGAGGAACCCGGGGAGTCGCAGGGACTTTCGGATCAAACACACCGGTGCCCTGCCTCGAGACAAACCTTGCGCTGGTGTGGAGTGTACGCAGGACATCAGAAGATCCGACTACGCTCGACCACGATCCAATGCAAAGCTGGATCAGGCATTGCACATTCTGGGGGTTATGTACTCTTGCTAGCATCTACATTGGTGGCAGCTGAAATCTAAGCCCTGATTTTCGTGCCCGAGTTAAGCACCGATTCTAGCGGTCTCTGTTGTGTTGTGTTACAATCCCGGGCTGGATGTTTGCAATGTGAGCGGACTGCTCCAGGGGTCGGATTTCAGTTTCCACGACTGTGCCGGTAAGGCGACAGCGGCAACTGGCATGTGAAACGATTCGGGTTTCGCCCAGTCCCCCTTTGGGCAGGGCAGATTTTTCCCCCTTTGGGCAGGGCAGATTTGTCCCCCATTGTGGCCGGGGCGGAGTTGTTCACACTTCTATAATATTATGCCATGGTTGATGCCGATTTTGGGTCAGCAGGTCAGCGCTGCAATCACAATCAAAACTGGCACAGGTCATGGGTGACAGGCCTTTGAAATGCGGTGTCGAAATGCACATCGTACAATGTAGTCTTGTGTTATCTATCTGGATGTTATTAAGACCCCCTAATGAATACGCAGTGGACGTTGTGATAATATCCGCCTTGTACAGTATAGCACAACCAACGAATACCTGCCCAGGGGCGTCGGAAAGTATTCGGCATCTGTGTGGCTATGGAGAGGCGGGGGTCCTGTGGGCGTACCCCATGGGAACATTTTGGAAAATTGGGCCCAAATAGGTCATATTTCATTGATTCAACAGTCACAAGATGAAATTATTGGTGCGGCTTTGACCATGCCAGCCGCACCGGTTCCAACGCCCCTTCCGCCAACTGCACCGTTTCTAAAGCAAGGCACAGCTCCCCAGAAGTGGGGTTTCCAGTTTGGGGGTCGCTGGTACTTTATAAACTAGAGTGGTGTACTATAGGAGTATGTACTATAGGAGTATGTACTATAGGAGTATGTACTATAGGAGTATGTACTATAGGAGTATGTACTATAGGAGTATGTACTATAGGAGTATGTACTATAGGAGTATGTACTATAGGAGTATGTACTATAGGAGTATGTACTATAGGAGTATGCCAGGTAAACTGGTGTTAACACTGTGAACCGTGAACTGAAGACGGCAGTACATACGCTGCTTGCACATGCACACTTGTGATAAACGCACTTGGTTCAAATTCGGCATAAACGGCGCCAATTTCAGCTGTCGAAACCAGTGGCCTTCGTTAATCATAGACACCCTTGGCAAACAACGTTATTTTGTAACGGTATTACCGTAAAGGAAAATAGTACCGTGATTTGATTCAGACCTGTAGCAAGATGCACGGTATTTTAGTACACTGTTGTCATGGGTGTAGTACAGTACTAGGGACGCGAGTAGGGTGTAGCACAATACGGTAAAACGCCCTGCATGCTGGAAGTGGAGCGCGCGAATATGTGAAAACATGTTTTCTTGTTTTCAAGAACATAGCAAATAGTGCAAAGACAGCAACGGGTTTTGTTTACGTCCATTCTTGTCAGCTTGTTGGAAGTCCCGTGTTTTTTCAACACGTCTTCCCTCTCCCTAGCTTGTTGGAAGTCCCGTGTTTTTCAACACGTCTTTCAAGCTGTCTGCAGAATGGATTACGACTTGCGTGATCTGGAGGAGCTGTTTTTGTTAGATCCTGACGATGAAGACATCGAGGACGTTCTGCTTCTCAAGTATATGGAAAGAGAGCAGGATTTGGCCGATGCTGCGGCTGCTCGTCGGATGAGAATGGTCTCATTCGATAGCCTCCCGGAATTAAACTTCCATGAATCTTTCCGTTTCATGAAAGCCGATTTGCCCGTTTTATGCGAAGCTCTTGGCATTCGCATCGACAGGGAGTTTTCAGCTCCGAATAGGACCAAATGGAGTGGACTCGAGGGCTTGTGTATTCTGCTTCATCGCATGGCCCATACCCAGCATCATTTGGAGCTGCGTGAGTACTTTGGCCGAGGTGAAGGTGACATCAGTATCATCTTCAATCAAATGCTCACCGTCCTAGTAAATAGATGGAGAGGTCTGTTTACGGATTTGCGCCAGCACACCCAGCCTGGTCGTTGGCTAGCTATGAAATCGTCTTGGGAATTGAACTGAGATGCAATGACTGTGCTGCATTTACATGAACAAATGATTATACAACTTACTCTTCTTGGCTTGCGCTGCAGCTGCTTGCGTTTGGCCCAGGGTCTGCATAGCAGCGTCACGCTGGGCTTGAGCAAGCAACACATCCTCTTCATCTTTCTTCTTCTCCTCCGCACTCTGCTCCTTTCTGGCGAGCTCCACATCCTGCAGCTCAAGAAGCTCTTGCAGGATGTGAGCTCGCTCATCGTACGCCTCCTCAATACCGGTCCTGTCATAAACATGTACATGTAAAACACAGAGCAACAATCAGGCTTCTACCTACAACCAGTGTGCCAATCATGAAGTATAAAAAACAATGAACTAACAAAGGTCACGCAGCTTATTAGAACGAAGGGTTCCAAATGCAACACAGCAACACAGAAACATAACACTTCAGGGACATACCGTTGACAGAAAATGGTCAAGACTTCAGGTGCTTACTTCACTTTCAGGCGATTGTCGCGAACCCTGAAATCCTTGACAAGGGCAAGTGTTTTTTCTCTGCACAGCCTTGCCGTGAAACACTTGCCCGTGCTGGCCTTCAAGTTCGCCGCCACAGAGTCCCACCCCTTGCACCCCCTTGTGAAAGGTGAGTCCTGTGCCAGGGCCTCGCGGAGTAGCTTTAGCTCGTCTTCGGCAACAAACCTGCTCCGCGACGCAGATGCTGATGACTGGGCTGTCGACGACATGGCTGAGTAAGCTCAAGGCTCAAGAACGACAAGGAACGTGACAGGAGGCATGGAAGAAATGAAACTAGAAGCTGGCCTCGTCGGCAATTTCAATGGTATTCCACTGAGCTGCATGGATTTTTGATTCGATACGTATTTGTCACGATTCCTGGTCTGCGCCACGTGCCAAGTTTCGCGCGGAACAGCCATTTACGCGATATATGGTGAAGTGTGTACGCACTACGCAATACTTGGCAAAAAAACATTATCGTTGGTCGCAACGATAAAACAGCACCCATAACGGTTTTATGCTGCAGCTTCAACGCTATATTTGGGATCCAGGTACGAGTACCGTAGAAAATAACGTTACCGTTGTTTGCTAAGGGTGTCTAATGTCTGGCAAGTTCTGAGTCCTTTGCGTTCTGTGCGTCTGTGTATGCACATGTGTGTGTGTGTGTGTGCGTGTGTGCGTGTGTGTGTGTGTACCTACGTGTGTGTATGTGTGTGTGTGTGTGTGTGTGTGTGTGTGTGTGTGTGTGTGTGTGTGTGTGTGTGTGTGCGTGTGTGTAACACCATGGTACTACGGTTGCTGTGATTCAGGTTGAGCCACTCTATCAAGTTCTTCTTGTGCTGAGCATTTCCATTGTGTCCAGGGCTAATCAAGGTGAGTGGACGATGTGAGTGTGTTCCAATATACATGTGCACACACACACACACACACACACACACACACACACACACACACACACACACACCATGTACCATCCATGTATACGACCGTCGCAAGAGGAACACGCAAATCTGCAAATGCACTGGATGTGCACCCACAGATTTTCTATAGCAACGATAGCGAACAAGATCTGAATGAGACAGATCAAGACTTGCGCCAGATAACTGTCTAATCCACACAACTGGGGAAGCCATGTGAATCGACCACCAATGCACACCTGGTCTACACCACACGGAATACATCGGCACAAAACGGCCAAGACAGTTACCTATGCACACCCTACACTTGCTGGGGTAACCAGTATAGACAGCACGCTGCTTTGATACATGTAGAAGCAGACACTAGATGCACTGGTACCTTGAAGTGAAATTGGAGTTACTTTACCAACCAGCCTCGGCTACTGAGTACTTGGAACCCAGAGCCAACAGACATACCAACAACCTCAGCCATGAAAGCTATATAGTAACGACACACTGGATTGTGGAGCCGAAACTAGTCCAACTTCCAAATGCTTTGGCAAGAAGGTAGCCTTCCGACAGGTTCCGACACACATGTACACACACATACACACACACATAATTCGATGTACACACCACACACACATGCATACGCACACACACACCCACCCATACATACAAACACCCATGCACGTACACACACACACACACACACGTACCTCTCTCTCTCTCTCTCACACACACACACACACACACACACACATACCTTTCTCTCTCTCTCTCACACACACACACACACACACGTACCTCACACACACACACACACACACACACACACACACACACACACACACACACACACATATGTGCACGTACAAGGAGAGTTCACATTTCAGGTCTTCTTGGCTGATTGCCTAAATGCTCGGGTGCCCATCAAGGAGTTTCCTTGGGAACTTGCAGGAAATTTATCGGGATTACTTCATCCGGAAAGAAACCTTCGTGACCTTGATTAACCTGTCTGTTCTGGTAGATTGAGCTCTGAGGAAAAGAGACATAGTAGTAAGGTTCTGCCACACGGTAAAACGTACCAAAGTACGTATGGAAGCCTCGCCGCGGTACACGATCAAGTTTCATACGGATTTTTTCATACCGTTTTCCGTGTGAAGCGCGCTTCACATGGACTGGTCTTCGTGTGAAAACTGAGCGGACAGAGTGCACGTGGCGGGGAGTTCAAGCATGCTAGCGCATGCTACGCACAGCAGAACCAGCGCAACGTACGAAAAATCCGTGTCAAGCTTCACCGCAGTTGACACGGAGTTTGGTACGTAGTTCTGGGTAGCAGAACGTCTCTAATGATGCACGCACACCTGTGTGTGTGTGTGTGTGTGTGTGTGTGTGCGTGCTCGCGTGCGTGTGCTTGTGTGTGCGTTTGCGCATGTGTTTACTTGCATGCATGTGTGTGTATGTGTATGTGTGCGTGGACGTATACATGCGTTTGTTCAGGCATAAATCTCGTTTCACCGTCACGCCAGAACGTTCACGTTAACGACACAGTGCCGGTCACTTGCTCGTCACTCACCTCGCCCATCTCCTGGCGCGCGGACGGCGTGTGCACTGAATCGTTCTCCGCCTGGCTAGCCACTGGAAAGATGAGCATACGGGAGCAGCGGAACACCACCACCGGCCTGGCATACAGTACGCTAACGATAGCGGAAGTGGCACCTCAACACAGCTGTGTGTTCACGTGTTTCCTGGCAGGCACGGCGCACTCGGCGAGCTCTACCGTTCACATTGTCGGTGAGTACTGTGCACGCCTCAATCTTCTTCATCACCACCACGGTCTTACACTCAAATCATAAAATGTATCTCCAATTTTCCTCAATCTGCAGACGGAACTGTTTCGTCCTTTGTGGACTCATCAGCGCAGTACAGAGAAAATGAGGCCGAACCTGATAGCAATGAAAAATATAAAAAATTCCGAAGCCAGATTTGTTACCCGGCCCGAACGTACCTGTAACTTGCCAGAGTTTTTTTAAGTTTTTTTTTATCACATTGCACATACCTAGAGTGCTCAAACTGACCAGTCGGTGAGCTCTGGATCTCCCAAATTTATTTATATCTCCAAATTTTCGTCCTTGGTTCTTCATCAGGGAGCATGTGAATGTGAAACTAGGTCAGCTGCCGAATATAGTTTATACACAATAACGTCGTGTAGAGGACTTTTTTGGGGGTTCTATATGAGACCGGCTTCTACACAAGACAGGTATTTCTATGTGTGTCAACACTAAAACCAGGCTTATGTGCCGACAGTGTATCTTGAAAATCAGGCTTCTATTCAAGACAGGCTTCTATATGAGACAGGCTTTTAATACAAGACACCTAGCTACGGTGTCGCTGACCTGCCCATTGATATTTGTTTGATAATTATTTATTTGTACCTTTGCAGCACTGCACAGTTTGTATGAGTAGCGTAAAATCCCGCCAGAGCGCCCCTACCTCCTCGACGCTTCGTTAGGGAGGGCCGGATGGGCGAGTCCTACTTGCCGCATTCAGTACTGCATGAAAAAGTACTCACGCTACGAAAACTGTCCGTGCATGTCGTACACCGACCAAAGGTCAGGAGCCAGGAGTCGTACAGACCCGTCAAAACTCAGGGTTTGTGCAATCCTTGGTCAAGAGGGTGGGCACTGTTGCGTACATTTCCAACGGGTTCAAGCACGCGTCTGCAGTACAGTACAGCAGCAGAGAGTCATACGAAGATACACCTCCCTGACAAAAAGTCAGGGAGGGGCGGATGGGAGAGACGGGGCGCTCTGGCGGGATTTTACGGTACTTGGAGATTTATGCAGTACATGTCTACAGCTTTATTTGAATGCGTGCCTACTGCGCTTCTTTGTTTGAATGCGTGCGTATGGCGCAGTAGTCCCTTGTAGTACGTGATTTGTATTGCGGGTTAGCATTCAGGTATGAACGCTACGCACTTTTCATGAAAGCTACTTGTCTGGATTCTGTCCTTGCTTTCATGCACGTGTCGCTGGCATACGCGATACGGGCCGGGTTTGTGTATTGGTTTTGAAGCATATGGTTCTTCTTTTCAGTTTAGTTGTTCTTTGGTTGCTCCGCGAGTTGTTGTTTTGGATCGGAGACAAAGATGGCTTTCCGTTTCAGTAATATAACGTTATGTAACTATAACTGATAGTATTCTGTTGAGTGTTTGGATACGTTGGGACCCCGGCACCAATATACGGAGTTAAAGTCGGGCTTAATCCTATAGAAGGCGATGTCAGACTAGGCTTCTATTCACATCAATGTGTTCTTGTGTGTGCATGTGCATGCGTGTGCGTCTGGGTTTGCATGTGTGAGTGTACGTGTGTGTTTGCATGTGTGTGCGCGTGTGCGTGCGTGTTTCTTGCCGCTCTCGTGCAGTTACGCCGAAGCTGAGCATCCAGAATCGCGGCCACATCCTGCTCAATGTCCTCTCGGCCGACAGCCTCAGTTTGGAGCGGGTCCTCGGAGAGTCGGTGACCTGTGCCTGCATGTCAAGCCTGCCGGCGCGGGTATCCTGGCTCGACACGAACAAGATGCTAGTCACGGAGTCGGCGCGTTTCCGCTTGTCATCGCACCGGCGAGCAGGCACCTACTACGAGACGAGCACCACGCTCGTCGCGGTGAATCCGGCCAGCGCCCGCGAGTTGGACGGTTTCTCCTGCTGGGCCGTCAGCCAGGGAGAGGTGTACCGCTCGGAGGGTGATGATCAAAACGCTATCCCTAGCCGCGTCGTATCAATCACCCTTGCACCTCCGCCACCCTCAGAAAATGGCACCGGTAAGAAAAGCAGGTTTTGTACCAAAACGCACGGAATTGGGGGGAAGAACCATTAAGATCCAGGCTGTTTCACTCCCTTGCACCTCCGCCACCCTTAGAAAATGGCACGGGTAGGGAAAGCAAGTTTTGCCCCAAAAACGCACTGAATCGGGGGGGGGGGGGGGGGGGAAACCATGAAAATCCTGGACAGTTTATCTTTATCTTTCCTTCTTCTTGTAAATAAACCTCAGTCGTTGTCTGGAGCTGTTGAGTGGAGTCTTGTGTTTGACGTTGGGACAAACCCAAACGTTGCAGTTTCACTCCCCTTGCAACAGTGCATTGTGCGGTTCGAACCCCAATCAAGGTACTGTTTTGGACCCTTTTTCCAAATTTCAAATTTATCGGCACTGCACGCATGCGATAAAATCACGAAAAATCAGCAAAAACGGAGGCTCGCTCGAGCCAGAGCTCATCTTTTACGAATGGACTGTAAGGAACATTCTAATCGGATATGTTTGGAGCAATGTAGCAGAATGAAACAATGGGAATAAGATGTAAGTCATGAACCCTATCGTATATGAGTAATAGATTTTCGCGAGCGGCAGTTCTCGACACTCACTCGCTGTCTCTCTCTCTCTCTCTCTCTCTCTCTCTCTCTCTCTCTCTCTCTCTCTCTCTCTCTCTCTCCCTCCCTCCCCCCTCTCTCTCTGTCTTTCTCTCTCTCTCTCTCTCTTCTCTCTCTCTCTCTCTCTCTCTCTCTCTCTCTCTCTCTCTCTCTCTCTCTCTCTCTCTCTCTCTCTCTCTCTCTCTCTCTCTTTTATTTTCTCGATGTTCAGTAAGCACCAGTCTTTCCAGTGTCCAAGTAACGAACATTGCCATTTCGGCTGCCTTGGGATGCATCGCTATCGCGATAGCGGTTGTCCTGGCAACCACCAACTACTGGCAACAGAGTCAGCACCGGAATAGGCAGTCAAAATCTACGCATACAGGTAAAGTAGCTATTCAATTTAGCCCTTTGACTGCGAATAGGCTAGCACAGAAAGCACTGGGTCGCGGTGTAACGAGGGCAGCTGTGCGTTCTGCGTGACTTTGGGCTTCTCCTACCAGCCTGGCCCGTTCTTATAAATATTTCGCGAACATAGTCGTTTTGTTCTTTTTTCTAGTACAGTGAAATGGGTTATTTTAGCGGGTACGGTGTTTGGCGTTTTCTGAATATGGACCAATTCGCGATGAAATACTTTAGCGATCCGAGTTTCAAGAAGCAGAGCATCTGCTTGTATCGTGCTCGCCTTGGACAAATAAGGGGAGCGATTTTGGGGGAGGGGGGGGGGGGGATTTGGCAGGGAACTGCTTCTCCCACCACTCTCCTTGAGAGGATAGCGAGAGTGGTTGTTCACTCTCCTGGATTTTTCTTACACGAAGGCCTGAAGAAGGATGATTGGTACTGTACTGCAGACGCAACATTTCGATTGGCGCGGCAAAACGTTAGCGAAAGCACTGCTTTCGTTAAAATCGCTAAAATTTAATCATCACCGTCGCTAAAACTAGCTGTTTTACAGTAACCATACAATGTCTGACTAACCATGGAATAAGAATGTCACATGTCACTGTATGCACGGGGACGCTTAGTTCACATGCATGTACCAGTGCAATCATGTGACAGTGTTGCATGGGAACGCATACATGTATGGGCACCTAGTCTGTCCCCGGGGAAAATTGCGGAAAAAAATCGCAAAAAACGCGGGGAAAAACGCGGCATAATATGGCATAATTTGCGGTGAATTTGCGGTAAATATGCGGTAAATATGCGGTGAATAATATTGATGTGCGGCAATTTTCAGTGAGTATGTAGTGAAATCAATCAGTTACAAGTCTCTGGTGTAAGCACTCGTCATATTTGAGTAAAAAGCCGCCACGATGAGACGTTGCTGACCGAACAGTGCACTGTGTGCACGTGTAGTGCAACAAAAAAGTTCAAAAAACGCGGGAAAATCGCGGAAAACGCGGTCTTTTAAAAAATCGCAAAAAACGCGGAAAAAAACGCGGCCGCGGAATTGCAATTTTCCCCGGGGACAGCCTAGTTGACACTGTGCCAGCTGTTGACATGTTTTGACCTACCGTGAAACTACGGAATCCGACCCCCTGAGCAGTGCGTTCACATTCTAGCGGTCTCTATTTCGTAGTTTTACAATCCCGTGTTGGGTCTTTGCGAAGTGAGCTCAGGGGTCGGTCGGATTGCAGTTGCCTGCACTGTACCACCCAGACGTGGAATTCTGCAGAGTTTTTTCTGAGACAGTGAGTGTACATTACAATTTCCGTTCTTATCTGCAAAAATTCCAGCCTAGACCTTGGTGAAATTGTAGTCTGGCCGTTCTTCGGCGCCACACGGTTTCTCGAGGATGCAAGTGGCAGAGTACCATGAGCTGCCCGAAACACTGGGTTCCCCCCCCCCCCCCCCCCCACACACACACCATTCCATGGCATTATTATCAACCTCGTCTCGCGACAATGCAACTACAGGTAGACTCCCTTTAATTCGAACCTCAAATTGCCAGGCCCTAACTTCGAATTATCCAGAACTTCTAATTATCCAAATGCAGCCCCATGCACTGATATGTATGTCAAAATGCTTGAAATCGTATGCTGAATATTTTTTGCACATTTTTATTTGCATCAACGAAACATAGGTGGTCGTACCGGTCATGTACAACGGATCATCAAAACACTGGATCGACAAAATCATTTTGACATTATCTTCATCTTCTAGTGAAGAAGTAACAGCCACTGCAGCTTTCCTGAAACAATTTCAACGGAAAAGAACTGCGCTGCCTAATCCGCGTCATGAAAGGCCGTCGGACAGCAGCACATCGTTCTGAAGAACCGAAGTGAAGCATAGGCATCGACAATATTTACGACAATGGTGTTGTTGTGCGCCACCACCTCCGCGCACGAGCTGGCGCGGCAAGAAAGGCCATCGAGATCCGCGAAGAGAGTCAGCGACCTGGAAAAAGTCGTCTTCAATCAAACCTTTGCAATTTGCCTCGCACGGGCTTGAATCAAATTTCGAGAGAAGGTGGGTTTCTTGAACGCTATAGTCGATCCTGCAGCGGACTATTGATCGATTTTTGAGCTTCTCTTGGCTAGAGGAGGAGAAAAGAATGAACTTCGAATTACAAGGATAGCAACTCAGTCTCAATTCGAAATAAGCGTTCAAAGGACATAGCCAATGTACTGTAAACAGCTCTTCTGTACAAAGACTGGGTTCGAATTATCCAACCGGCGCACTTTTCGTACTTCGAATTATGCATTCGATTTTGACTTGAAGTGACTTGCAGAAGATCGGTACGACGAAAAAGTTCGAATTACACGGAATGTTCGAATTATACCGTATTCGAATTAGAGGGAGTCTACCTGTACTGTGGCATGGCTGCCACAGGAAAAGGGAAATTCCCGTTGTAAAAATACTATGCTCAGGTTGCATGCAAAGAAAATCGGTTGCATCACTGCTTGTGGTCCTTCATTGGAGCACGATCTCTTCGAGATGTCAAAATCGTTTGAACTGACGGCTGTGTGTTTCTGCTTCTACAAGGATACTACGATCGCTAAAAATCAGGCCAGATTTGAGGAGGCTGCAGGTGTTTGAGCATACCACACTTTCGTTACTCCGAATGACCAATTTTGAACGACTAGGCAGACATGAAAGGGCCAATGCACGAAATAAAGAATTTTTATTCCCGTAGCTATGCAGAAGACGTTACTTCAGTAACGTCTGGCGCTAGCCAGGGTCCACACAGCTTTAATTTGGTATTTGTGTGTTTGTTTGTTTGTGTCACGCCTGGCGCTATCCCGTATCTGTCCCGTACCGTACCGTACCATCAAACACCGCTGGCCACATACAGCTGGCCGCAATATTCAAATAGGGCTTTCAAACTCAAGGTCATAACGTGAAGCAACTTGGAAGAATGGGTATGAATGCGAAGTGTATGGGGGAATGCATGTTGGGCGATAGTGCGGGTTCGAATCCCAGGATATGCCTGAAAAAATAGGAGAATTGAAAAATTTATAACATCCCTAACATCCCTATGCTTTTTTTTGCCGTCATCAAGGCGGTAGACGGTGTCGTATTACCCTCGATCGTACCTGTCCCGTACCTATCCCGTACCGTACCGTACCATCAAAGACGGCTGGCCACAATGCATATTCAAATAGGGCTTTCAAATGCAAGATCATAACGTGAAGCAACTTGGAAGCATTAGTATGTATGCGAAGTGTATCGGGGGATGCATGCAGGGCGCGCGATAGTGCGGGTTCGAATCCCAGGTTATGTCTTAAAAAAAGGAATTTTTTCACGAATTTATAACATCCCTATGCTTTTTTTTGTCAAGGTCATCAAGGCAAAAAGCATAGCGTAGGGCCCTGAGCTTCCAAGCTCTCTCGTTTCTTCAAACATGCAACTAGATGTACAGTTGCGCTCGCTGAAATCCGACCGGGAGTGCAAAACCGGCGCCCGCGCCCCTCGGCCAGTCCGGATTACGTCACTACTTGTACATGAGTGTGTACATGCAGCCGCATTTGTACCACTTCCAGGCCATATACATGTACGAGCTGAGGGCGCCAAATATGCACTCTGGGTCGGATTTCACGGAGCACAACTGCACCACCATCGCCACCCTCATTTTAACTGTTGTATGCTAATAGTGTTAGACTCAGGTGGAGAGCTCTTTGGTCCATTTTTCTTCTTCCCGGCGTGCTGCGCAGAAATGGACGTGCCGATGCCGCTGTCGCAGATGGTCTCCTTCGACGACTTGCAGGGCTCGCAGACGGAGACACTGAGCACCACGCGCTCGCAGCTGGGCTGCGAGCAGCCGTCGGAAGTGCCAGTCGTCCCGCCGCTGCGCACAAGCCTGCACCCGGACGATAGCGTCCCCGCCATCACCACCGGCGGCGGCGTACTTTTGAAACTCTCCAACGAGGAGATATACAACGACGCCTACTCGATGCCCAACAAGAAGCCGCCGCCGAAGGTGGACCCCAACAAAATGGAGGCGAACCGCCGCATCAGTGTGGTGTCGGAGAGTGGCTACCTAAGATCCATGATCAACGAGTCCACACTCGGCCCAGATGAGGAGAACTATGCAGCTCTGTAGCGATTGACAGTTGCCTATTTTTTTGTCGATTTAAAAGACAACATAATAATTACTTATTTTTTAGCAGTAAAGTATTTACTTTCTAAATGGCTTCAAGACCTATCGAACTTAATAAAGAAGATTTCCATTCAAGCATTGTACAAAGTCTCATGCAATTGCCTGCCTCTGTCAGCATTTTTTTCCAATCATGCATGTTGAAACTTGGATGTTGAGCCAATAATAAATCAGAAAGTGCAACAACTAGCTGTCCCCGGGGAAAATCGCGGAAAAAATCCCAGAATTTGCGGTGTAATTTGCGGGTAAATATGGCATAATTTGCGGTAAATATGCGGTGAATATTATTGATATGCGGCAAGTTTGCAGTTGATATGACGCAATTTTCAGTGAGTATGTAGTGAAATCAATCAGTTACAAGTCTCTGGTGTAAGCACTCGTTATATTTGACTACAAAGCTGCCACGATGAGACGTTGCTGACCGCACAGTGCACTGTGTGTACGTGGTGTAGTGCAACAAAAAAGTTCAAAAAATGCGGGAAAATCGCGGAAACGCGGTCTTTTAAAAATTCGGAAGACAATTCCAACTCATGAAAGCAAATTATAATTTCAGTTGGAAAGGGAGGTAAACAAGGAAAAAGGTGAGAAGGTCATGCACCATGAGGAAGATGGTTCACCGGTGCGAAGGTCGTCTGCCATAAAGTACGCACAGTCGCATGTTGCAAATCCCGGCCCCGCGCCCGGGGCCCGGTCTATCTCCCTGTTTCAAACTCTGCCGCGAGGCCGCGGAGACCTCTCGTTTTCGGTACCGGTAGACCATGTAGACGTCTCAGGCTCAGACGTGCATCACACACGCGTGCCTAATATGTTTTTTTTGCCGGGAAAGTCGGTAAAAATTAAGTGAGGGTCCCTTAGGGCGCGTTTGGTTGGTACGAACTAGAACAGGATTCACCAGAACAGCGCGTTTGGTTGGGACTGCACCTGTTCTGGGTCGGCCAGAACATGTTCTGCTTGCTCCGGCCTCGAGGCCGGAGCAGACAGAGCAGTTTCACTTTTTCACAGTGAAACCTGGCGGGAACATCGATTTTGGTCCCAGATGATCACGTGCATACGCTTTTGGGTTGGATTCGTCGTACCGTACAAAGTGACCATGGTGACCCATACACATTTTTGAAGAATGCACCATTTTGGCACATTTTCTCACAAAAATGTGCTCTGTTTCTGGAGTACCGTTTGGTTGGCATGAGGCTGCTCCATGTGCACCAGCTGTTCGATCCTGTTCTAGATCGTACCAACCAAACGCACCCTTAGTCCTTCGCGTTGAGCAGGATCAAATCCATGTGCGCAGGTCCGATTGAAACTGAATTTGGGTGCGGTTCGAAGACGAGGACGGACTGATGGTGGACCAAGTGATCCAACAGCTGAAGACGAGGTTGGCGAACTACTGTCTTGTACTGTTAGTAGGCTCCAGGGCAAAGGAAGATAGAGTGTGATGAAGTGTGAGAAGATTAGTCAACATGGCGAGATCAGCGAGAGCAGCAAAACCAGCAAAAATCAAAACTACATACGTGGAAATTTTTTCAAATAATCGAGAGCAGCAGAAAGCAAAATAGTCCGTGAGCCAAAACTCAAAATCAACTTGCAGGGCCGGCGGAACCGGTCAGGCTGGTCCGGCCATGGCCGGACCACTTTCCCAGCTGGATGGTCCATGTGATTCATGCAAAACCGGTGTAAAAAATCCAGAGGTACATGACTCGACTGTACTGCTGACGTGTGATGTGCTTCGAAGTAGCTCAGGACTTCGTGACCGGCACTGTATGGCTGATATCGAACTCTTGCTGATATGGATAAAAAAAGTTGTGTTTGTGTTCTTTTACTATAATTTCTGCATTTTCTGGAGCCTTAGAGATGCCCAAATTCGCTCTATTTCACGTAAATTTTAGATATTTCTCCCGGGGGAGGTCCCCCGGACCCCCTCAAAGGTTGGCCGGACCACTCCCGAACTCCTTCCTCCGGCCCTGCAAGTGCCGTTGCACTCTCGGATGGACAAATCGCCGCTTACAGTGTTGGTCAAGGACATCACAAAGGATACGTTTTCGCTTGTTGGACGTTCCAGAACCGATCCAGAGACCTTCGCGAGGGCTTCTTTTCTCGACCAAATTCCACCGTGAGAACAAATATTTTTACGGGAGTGGTGAGGTGTGCGTCGTATGAGCAAGCGCAAAACACGAGTTCCCGTGGAGTGAGGAAAAATAATTTATTTTTTAGAAGATGACGACGTTGACGACAATATCGACTTGGGATATTGTGATCACTTTTATAATATTGAAGTTTATTCCTTTCGTGTACATTGATGTTGTTTTGACAACAATGGAAGACGAGGAAGACGTTTCTAGTGGCAGCGAGGTGCTGGATGAGGCAGCTGACGGCAACGAAGTGGCAAATGACAGCCCAGCGGAGTAATATTGCTGGAATTTTGTGTCTGTGTCACAGCGCCCAATTTAGTAAAAACGAGAAGCCTGCAGTGAGTAATATCGAGACTACAAGTTGGTGTCGCATCGTCAGCGCTGCTCGAGAGAAGGACGACCATATCTGGGCTTTTCTCTGCCAGCACAAGAGCTCAGGGAGGAGTAAATGGTATGGCTGGTATCATGGAAAGTGCTACACCAATTGCACGCATGTGATAGCAATTGCAAACCTGGAGAAGACCAGTGCCTCTGATTTTGCTTTGTCTATACTTGCTGACAGTGATGTGCATGTAGTAGTGAACCCAGAGCCACATCCTAAGGCCAGTAAGGGGCCACCTACCAGGAGCTTAGTGGTTGATACGAACAACGAATGCCATACCGGTAATTATGAAAGCAGAGCACGGTGTAAACACAACACGGAGAACTGGTCCACCCAGAGTTTCCGGAAGGGAATGTTTTGTTGCAGGCAGCACTGGAGAGGGCAAGACGACAAGTAGCGAGGGCGAAACCAGCGCTGCTGGAGGTCCAAGCCAGAGCACCTGGCTGCTTTGCGGGCAACATACTACTGTATACCATTAGCTGTGTATGTGTGTGTGCGCACGTGTTTGTGTGCACATTTCTGGGTGTGCGTGTGTTTGTGTATGTGCGCGCGCGCGTGCATGTGTGCGAGAGTGCATGTGTGCGCGTGTTTGTGTGTGTGGGCGCGTGCATGTGTGCGTGCGTGTGCATGCGCGTGCATGTGTGTGTGTGTGTGCGCGCGCGCGTGCATGTGTGTGTGCGAGTGTGCATGTGTGTGCGAGCGTGCATGTGTGTGCGAGCGTGCATGTGTGTGCGCGCGCGTGCATGTGCGTGCTAGGCGTTTTCCTTTGTTGGTGACACCACCCCAGGCTTCTACTGGTGTTGGGGCACGGTGTTGCCACAGCCACTGCGGCCAGTGCGATCCGTGTTTCAGGTCGTTGGTGGGTTTTAGATTCCGCAATTGTCGACAAGGTGTGCGCCGTGTGTGTGTGAAACCCGACAGCATTGGTGTGATGTTGTCCGAAGAGACATCCATCACTTACATCTTGATGGACATTGGTTCGACACTGCACAGCAGCGAGGAGAGTGGCGCACAGCATTCAGAATTGCTTCACCGCCACAGCCGGCCTCCCGTGATCGGATTCAGTGTAGTATTTGTAACATTTCCTTTTCGAAGAGCGGCCTGCCATGCCACAAGTGTACTCAAGAGCGTCGCAAACCTGTAGCAGACCAGTCTGGCAGCAGCCAATGAACCGTATGTCTTCGCTGGTTTCGCAGTCATGGCAGACTGACATAGTCTTATTCGGCAGCTGGTTCATGTGTGTGTGTGCGCACGCACGCGCGCGCGCGTGCCTGGGAGACTGCATAGTCGCATTCGGCAGCTGGTTCATGTGTGTGTGCGCGCACACACGCGTGCGCATAAGCGTGTTCGTGCGCGCGTGCCTGGGAGACTGCATAGTCGGATTCGACAGCTAGTTCATGTGTGTGTGTGTGTGCGCACGCACGCGCGCGCGTGTTTGTGTGGATTCGGCAGCTGGTTCATGTGTGTGTGTGTGTGTGCGAGCGTGCATGCCTGGGAGACTGTATAGTTGGATTCGGCAGCTGGTTCATGTGTGTGCGCGTGCCTGGGAGACTGCATACTCGGATTCTTCAGCTGCTTCATGTGTGTGTGTGTGTGTGTGCGCGTGCGCGCATGCATGCATGTATGTACATGTATGTATGTGACATCATCTTATATCGGTAGTATCTGTGGATTACTATGTTCTGCGGTGGACTGCGACAGCACACATTATGTGCCAAGATGTGCACCTGGTGATTTGCAACTGTGTAAATTACTTATGTTGAGGTGAAAATGAGCAATGACAGATTGCTTTTGGTGCTGTATGAGTGTGTGAGGAAATCAATAGCCAATTCCAACATCTTGCATTGGCCGTCAGGTTGGATAGGATCAACGCGTGCATTTACAACAGTGGTGACGTACTTCCTATTGTACTACTGTAATGTCACATTAGCTTCAGTGTTCATATCATTATAATACTGGAGTATTCTACGTATTCACTACTATTCAGTAATCGAGTGGTTATTACTTTTGAAATATACTTCACTCACCAATTCATTGCTCGCTATTATCTACAAGTTCCAGTCCAGTATGATGAAGTCAAGAGGCGATTTATCCAGCCAAGTAGAGGAACTTGGGATACGAAATCCAAGAGAAATCATGAGGGTTTTCTCAGTTCGGCCATTCACGAATGTAATTGTTATTCTTCAACGCAAACTGAGTAATATTTGACCTTGAACAGGATGAAAAGAAGTTCATGCTCGGGGCAGTCGTCATTTGCTCCAGAAGGTTACTCACTACAGTCTACTACGCCTATTGGCCTAGGAAGTGGTGAACAAATATGTCGAGAGATATTTAGGACATTCTTGGAAGTCAGTTCTGAACGATTGCATTGTAACTACAAACAATAGTAGAGAGGTTTTGCAGAGCGAACGTTCGCGCGAATTTTCGTTTGACGTCACGAAAAGCGAAACTTCGTGCGAACGTTCGCAGTTTTGAACGCGAAAGTTGCAGGAAACGCGAAACAAACTTTCGCAGTATTTTTCGCTCTTTGTGGACCGCTGGTGAGCCTGGTGCACGGTGATCTTCATGTTTGTGCTTTATCTCTACTCTTCAAAGTCTCTTGGCTTGGTCCGCGAGTGCTAGCTTTCCTATACTTGTGGCAGCCCGTGTTGCTTCATCTCCAGAACCATCTCCGATTTCCTGCTTGCTCGTCTTCTCACTGCTCAGAGTCGGTTACATCAATGATGCCTTTTGAATCTCACGAGTTGATGCACAAGATTA